TGTTGGTCTGTTGAATTACTCTTTTTAAATGTATTTCTTTCATAATCGTTTACTTTAAATGAAGATAGTTTTAATACTAATGTTTCATATTCATGTTATTGATGATTTTTTTTTCTCCTTTTTCTTTGTGGTTAATGAAGATCAAAATGTTCACACTGAAATACATTACCAGGCCTATCAATTCATATATAGATAGATAGTTATGTATGTATTTATGTAGGTATACAGTTGTATATATACATATATGTATTCATTTTATTTTGAATAAAGTCTTGTTAAGTTTTAATTTGTCCTGACTGGGCTAGAACATGCAATCCTTCTGCCTCAGTCTCCTGGAATGTCTTAAAAGATATGGTAAGATGTTAGATGGGTACTTAGCAGTTATGCAGAAAGGTACTAGATAAAATTGTGCCTTTTGAGAAATGTTCATGTAACCTAAGAATATATTTAAGAACAATGGTAGAAGCAACTAATATTACTTACTTTGTTCTAGATATTCTCTGAGTACATTACACATATTGACTAATTTAACTTCCAAAGTAGAATATTATAAATGAAGTCATCTTATTAGTTACATTTAAAGGTGCAGTGCTTTCTGTAGACAGGAACTCCATGTTATTTCTGGTATTCTTAATGGTAAGTTAGAGAATTCATACTTTTTTACATAGGGACTATGTAAGATTTGACATTAAACTATGGAAACACTAGAATAAACTCTACAAATTGTTACTTGGCACAGCCACATTAACAAGACCTAGCTACAAATAAGAATTCTAAATGACCCTCGAATGGATTAGTTAAGTTTATTTATTTATATACTTATTTTGTTTTGGGAATCAAACTCAGCTGCACTTATCAGGTAGGAGCTTATGCCAGTGAGCTATATCCCTGGTCCCTAGTTAGGTTTATTTTCTTGGGAGCTCAGAGAAAATATTTGGACTTCTGGAATTTTGAATTCACCTAAATATGTAATTTTAAACCACTATGTGAATAATTGGAGTACTCAGGCACAAAGTAATTTTGCTTAAATAATATACAAGATTCATAATCAGCACAACCAGTATTATGGTATAGTTATTTAACTGTAGAACTGCCAAAATATGATATATAAATATATATTTCTAGAGAAAATAATTTATCCCTACTTCATTTCACATATATAAAAGATATTGATGATCTTGAAACTGATTATATTTTAATCTCTATGAGGAGTTTTCAAAACTCAGGTGTATATTGTGATCTTCAGTTAATTAAACTATTTCAAATTATATACTTTTGTCATTATTGAAGCATTATTTATGAATATGAAATGTTATACTTTTCAGGCAGAGCTCGGTGATTTTAATGATGGTATATAGTTAAGGAAAAATTACAAGATAGTATAAAAATATTTCTGTATGTCCATAGAGCTCTTTCTTACTCTCGATAGTCTGTCCCGCTTCTCCATTTCCAGTTTGTGGGAACAACACCTCTGACTCCTGCCACTAAATTGCCTTTTTCCATAAAGTCATAAGAATAGACTCACAGCCTAGTCCATTAATCTGGATGGTGAATCAGCAGGCCGCAAGTTCAAGCCCAGCCTGTACAAATTAGTGACTAATAAAAACATCTCACAATTTTAAAAATCGTCAACTGGAAGATGCAGTTCAGTGCAAAGTCTCTGGATTCAGTCCTCAGTCTGAGGGGAAAATGACATCTATCATAAAGGATGTGATTCCCACCCTGTTTGCTGCTGCTATATTTGTCCATGTCGCTGTGTTCTGGGATTGAAATGTGGAAAGAAATGAAAACCAACACACATGTCTTTGACCAGTTACCTACTCATATATTTAATTTTTTAAAAAAGGAAAAATAACTTTCTACATGTAAGTTCCCATTATATTTCTCTTCTGTTGCTCATAGTTGAACTTAAGTCTAGCGTATGCAACACTTCACTGGAACTCTGACTATGACAGGCAGGAACCCTAATTGATAATTTTAACAATTGTGATGGGGCATCCTTGGAGCATCTGAATAAGCAAGTAATTCTAAGACTTCTCATCTTTCAAAAAAAATGAATTTTCATTTTCAGTGCCCCGTGTGGTGCCAGGTTAATGATTATTTAAAATTAGTATGGAAAAATTTCTTTCCTAGGTTTTAAATATTCAAGAAATTATTCTTCTGAAATTAATTCATTATTTTGACTATTACCCCAAATTTGAACCCGTCTGCTATAAAAAGAATCAGCAACATAATTTTAAAGATAAATTCTATGCAAGATTGTTGGCATCCCGAAAGGAATCTTTTTAATGTATTCATAAACAATGTATCTTGACATTTTAAAATTGGAAACAACCTCCATTCCTGTATCTGTTCACAAAAATACATAGTGCCAATATTCAAATGTGCTCATTTTTTTCTGTTTTACATTTGTTTGCCTTATGACAATTATCGTGTCCTCATGATAGTACTTTATTTAATTCTCTGCTTTTCCCAGGTAACCTAGAAGCCTACCCTTGGTAAACAGCTCTTATTCTGTCCCCTTGCTCTTAGCACCTATATACCCAGAGTCCTTAGAAGATACTCAGTCTAATTGATATATCTGATTAGAATTTTCCCTGGGTCAAATTTATAGCATCTTAAGTGAAGCAAAACTTTCCAAAAAATATCTATGCAAATTAGTTCAATGTTTAAAAAGAAAATATTATCATAGACTCTGTGAAGCACAGACATCATTTAAAAAAGGAAGGAGTTAGCAGAGGAGGAAGTAGATAATTGGAGGATATATCCAGAAATAACCAGAGACTTTTGGCTGAACATACCTGCTGACAGAGACACAGAAACTGACCCATATTGAAATAAGCAGAAATGGGATTTTATCCAAGAAAAACAGGAAGTAGTTAAATGCTAAAAGAGTATTTTCACTAAGTTTTTGGATCCTAACTTCATGGAGCTCTGGAGAAATAAGGTAGATAGCTCTCTGCATAAGAAAGTTTATGTTCTTATCCTTTTTGGAATCATAAGTATCGACTCACAGATCCCTATTGTATCATTTTGCTCTTGTGATTGGGAAATCTTCATTAACATTGCTGTTAGCCTAAGCTCATTTCTATCTTCTGGGATCCATAGAACATGTTTATCTCCCTGTAGCTGTGCTGCTTCTTCCCAAGTATGTGTGTTCATGATCTGAGAGCCAGGCTTGGAGGCTGAGGAGGAACACCGAGCTCCAGGTTCAGCATCTCAGGTCTTTGTACGTAAATCTCACCCAGCTGGAGACATAATCATTTGGATAGTACAGAAAGCATTTTGATCTAAGCAGCACTGTTTTCTTCCTATTGAAAACATTAAGCTGTTGATGTGTGCCTACAAGGCATTAAAAGGGAAAGACTGTGTCACTACATGTTACAGACTGTGTTGTCTGTTTCCTCAGTATAATTCAGCCAACGCTTGACATCATCCCAGTAACACTCATTTAGGGTCTGCCCTCTGGAACTATAAAAGAATAAAGTTCAGTTTATTGAGACACAAAAGGTGTGTAATTTGTTAAATCAGCCATGTTAAGTAATACAGAATTTATACAGTAACAAAACATTCAATTACATAAAGAACTGTATTCTCTCAGGCATTGCACAAATCTCCATTTCTTTTTCTATATATCTTCCAATTTAAAATTAAAAAAAATAACTACTTTGAACTAAGTATCATCCTTATTTGTGATAGTTTTACACACTGCTTAAATGCATGAATGTTTCAGTTATGATAATATATGTTATAGACTTGTCGAAGGAAGGTAATGCTCTAAGTTGCTCTAGCAGGGTTTCTTCAAGCATTCATTTTGTTACCATCTAATAATTTATGACAGTTCAGTAAGCACTTCTGATTTGTAACAATCACACTCATTATGGGGGACACACAGTGTAGTCTCTGATTAACTAGAATTTTCATATTTCCACTGAATTCAATGAAAGAAGTTAAGTGGTGTTGAGTATGTTAAAAGAATAGAAAAGAAAACTTATCAGATATAAAATGGTGTGGTAAATGCTAATGCAATTATATATTTTTAAATGTTATTAAAATATTGGGAAATTCAGAGGAGACTGAAATGTCATTGGAGGATAAATTGGAAGGGTAGCTTCCAATTGGTCAGCTTTTCTGCTGTTGGGATGAAACACCCCTGCTTAAGGACAGGTTCACATTGACTTGTGGTTTTGGGCGATTCAGTTTGTGGTTGGCCAGCTCCAAGGCAGAAGCAGGAATGGTGGAAGGGTATGACAGAACAAAACTGCTCACCTCACATCAGCCAGAAAGAAGACAAAGAGGGGAGGAGCCAGGGAAAGGGTGCAGCCTCTGTGGTCTCATCCCCAGGGACTCAACTCCATCTAGGTGCTATCTCATATCAGTAAATCCAGCCCTTCCCTTGTAAATGGACAGTACAACGGTGCTCTGAAGCAGTCATATCCCAAAAACCCCATCTCTGAATACATGAGACCTGGGGGATCTTTTCAATCTAAACCAGAATAGTAGCTAAGTATATGTGTGCTTTTGGCTTGTTAAGAATATATATATATATATATATATATATATATATATATATATATATTAAGAGATTTGTGTGAATGTATTCATTGGATAAAAAATCTATTTTATTTTATTCTAGGAGATTTGTGTGCGTGTGTCATTTCCCCCAGTAAAAACATTACTTTTCTCTCCTTTTTCCCTCCTAATATAAACTATAAAAGATCATCCTAGTAGTTTCAGACCTTAGTTTTCGTATAATTTCTAGTACATAAAAATGAAGAGATCTAGTGTTACCAAGTGATTTAATTTCCTATGACATGCTTATCTGATGTATGCCATCATTCAGCTTACCTCTGTCTACCTTCCCACCCCAACTGGTAGTTGAGCTTAGGACCTCCTGCTTGCCAGGCAGGCTCCATGAGGCCAAGCTATACTCCAGGCCCATTGCCTTTGTTGAATAAATGCTAGAATTCCTAATTTTGTGTTGCTTTTCCTATTTACAGTGACAATTGCGAGCTGGTTTTTAATTAGATCGACATTTAATCAGTACACACCCATGACATACAGGCTTCTGGTCAGAGGTAAGCTCCAAGAACTCTATAAATTCAGCAGTGTCTTGACTTTGTTTACAAACTGATCAACCTTACTCTTTCCTTCCTTCTAAATCCTGGGTAGTTTTCCTAAAAATGTTGATCTGGTCCGAGAGTTTTCTAATCTTTGTGTGGCTTCCTCTAATTCCTAGAATTAACACTCCAAAAGGATTTCCATTGCTATCTGACTTTGGTATCTGACTCTTTATATTCTTTTCCTCTACTTTATTATCTCTGTCACAGTAAACACTCTCTTATTTCTCTTTTATACTATCTTTCTTTTCCAGACTTTTAGATTTGTACTGATATTACTTTAGCTTAGAGGATTCATTCTTTCATTCCTTCTTAATTACCTAACAGACTTCCTCTTTCTCTAAGCCTTTTTTTACATTTTACTTTGCTAGAAAAAATTGTCTGAAACATAATCCTGTCCTATGTTCTTATCATGCCTTCTAGTCACATTTTCTTATGTACTTTATAGTCATTTTCTTGGTTCCCTTTTTTTTCTGACTCCTTTCAGTGAAGGCAGGACTCATACCTGCTTTTTGATGTGTACAAGACAGCAGAGCATGTTACAAATTCTTTCAGTGCAAATGCCAACTTTTCAACATGACATTACACCTCCTTTCCTCAAGGGGTAAACTTGTTGCTCAAATCCTTTAATATAAACTGGGCTTCCCATTTATTTGACTTATGAAATGTCCCAGAGATTATAAACATGGACCTCGGAGGCATTATAACATCCAATCCCAGCTCCTCCTATACTAAGACCCAATGCACAAAATACTAGGTAATTTTCAGGAGAAAAAGCTCATGAGGACAGAGACCCAGCCAGTGCCACTCTATACATGTGAAGAGAATATATATTTCCAAAATGGAACTTATGGCTATACTAGCACTAAAAGTGGCAGTAAAAATCTTTCCACAAAGGAGTATCTCAAACCATTGAATGGGTTTCCAAAAAAGCTGTACTAAATTCCAGAGTCACAATCCAGAGCATATATTAGGGAACTTAGGTATGGATAGGTGCTGCAGCAGAACCTGGTTCTGGACAGCAAGGTGGGCAGTTTTATGAAAGTTTAAGCACTTTGGTCCAGGTGTTAGGGGTAGTGACTTTCAATGTCTGGGTCAGCCACTATCAGAATCTGAGAATGTTTACATCCCAAGCTTGTGGATACAGAAGGGAAAAACATGCAGCTGCCAGGTAACAGAGCATTCAAGGCAGCTTACTTCTCAATCAGGAAAAGAGTGGCAGCAAACGGAAGGAATCTACAACATCTAAGAGAGGCCAGCCACAGTCCAGCTTCAGATGACTGCATGAGTCTCATTGAACCTAGGCAAAACCAGTTGGAATTTCTGACTGGAAGAAAACAAACAAATGTAATTATTGTTGGTTCCAACCTCTAAATTTTGGAGTGGTTTTGCGTCAGTAAATAACTGATGTGATTGTTGGAATGGTAGTGCCAGTCACAATTCTTAGTACATAGTAACATAAAAAATGATCCACTTTATCTTTACTCCCACAGAGCTTTATATATTTATTCTGTGAGTCACAGCTCCCTTGCAGTGCCAGGGGCCTGTGAATGTTCACATTAACATGGCTTCTCTGATCTTCCAAAGCTGGAATGTTTCTTGTGAATGAATGACAGTTTTGCTTGTGAAACATGATGACTTCTCCAACTACTACATGCAATGAAAAATATGCTATGGGGAAAAAGGTTATCTCTAAGAAAGTTAAGATGGTTACTTTAGAAATCATTTTTAAAAAGTGCTTAAAAAGCTTCAAAGATACTAATACGACATTGGAATGACAGTTGTAAAAGATTTGCAGGAAATCCCAAAAATTTTTAAGAAATTTTGACTCAGATAACTTTGAAAGTAAATCATTACTCATTTAAATAAAAAGGCTTAGAAAATGTATGATGTGTAGTGCTTAGTCAAGGAGAATTAATCAGAAGCTCTCCTTAACAAGTGTTTTTAGCTTAGCAACAGAAGATTGCAAGTATTACTTATATTGTTTGATCTAATTTCATAGCACTGTGATCCGCTAACATGCAAGGGATAATTTCAACTCTTTTGCATTTATTTAAATATGTTCTTTGAGTTAATGTATGGTCTGTTTTAGAGAATGACTCATGTACTGCTGAGAAGAATGTGTATTCTGTTGTTGTTGGGTAGAATACTCTGTATATGTCTATCAAGTCCATTTGTTCACAGGTGTGATTCAGTTCTGTTATTTCTTTGCTGATTTTCTGTCTGGTTGATCTGTCCATTGGTGTCAATGGTGTGTTAAGATCACCTGTTATAATTGTATTATGCTAATTTGGTTTTTCATTTCTGTTAATACTTGTTTTATTTAACTGGGTGCTCTGGAATTTGGTGCATATATATTTAAGATAGTTATCTCTTCCTCTTGAAGTTTTCCCCTTACCAGTATGTAGTAAACTTCTTTATCTCTTCTGATCATTATTGGTTTGAAGTTCACATTGTCTGCAAACAGTATAGCTACCCATCCTTTTTCAATTTTGCCTGCTTGTGTCCAGTATTCTGAGCAACTCTTTCGAAGATAACAATATGTAATACAACAAGCATTGTTGAATTCTTACCTTCTTGTCTTGAAATCTTGTATTGCTATTGTTTGGGGATTTATTGTTGTTTATGTCTTTTTTTCTTTTGTTTTTCCTGTTTTTTCTCTTTACAATAAAATTTTTAAAAATATTGTAAAACAGTGTAAATGTACCTGCTTCAATATTAAATGAAATGCTGTGATGTCCTTATGAGTTTAATAAAGATTTTGAGTCAATTCAGTTGGACTCCCAATCATATCATTTGCCTTACTAAATAACTGTATGTAAAATGAAGGAGTATAAGAAAAGTTGACAAAGAGAAAAGAGTTGGATAACATTTTTTCTTGTCACAATCTGCATAAGTGAAATAACTGGCCAGAATGGTATGAAATTCCCACAAAAAGTGTTAAAAATGCTGAGTAGTGGGGCAAAGAGAGAAGTGCACTGAAGGAGTATTAGAGCTTTACTATGAAGATGTCTCCAGGTTAAGAAGTTTAATATAGAGTAAACACTCAAGAGCAATCAATGTCTTAGTTATGAAAATACAAAGGATTTAAATGACACAACAACATACAGGGAGATAATTCCAGTTATACTTTAAGGTGTGAACAGTAGATGTCCAATAGGTGCATTTCTGCCATAATACTGAAGCAAGGTGCAAATGGTTGTTTCTATATTTATGGCAGGATAATCCAGGAGAGAAGAATATCTTGATAAAAAGAAAATCTTCATTCTTAATGGTCAGATATCCTTACAATATTCATGGAAGGAGGAAAAGAAACTCTAATACTGGAAAGAAGTTCTTGTTCTATGTTTGTCAATCTGATGTTAAGGATTATACAGAATTAGAATTTCAATGTATTTTAGAACTGAAAAAATTTAAGTGATACCTATTAAAACTACTTTTTTGTTAATTATCTTAGTACTACAAAAAGAATACAAAATCAGATACTACAAATATTTAGGCTATGATTAGAAAATTAGGTAATATTGATAGGTTCAGTTTAAAACACTGATAATACAAAGCAAATGTAGCAATCTATTATTGAATGCACAGCCCAGGAAACCACTGATAAAGTGAAGAGACAGCCTACATACAAATATGAAAAAAAAAAAAATTGCTGGCCACTCTTCAAAAAAAAAAAAAGACTAATATCTGGAATATATATAGAACACAAAAAATTAGACACCCCAAATTTAAAGACCCAATCAAAAATGGGCAGCTGAAATATATAGACATTTCTAGGATGAAGAACTACAAATGGCAATACATGAAAAAAATGTTCAACATCATTGGTCATTTGAGAAATCAAAAACAAGCAGCACTGAGATTGTATTCACTCCAAAAAGAATGAGCACTATCAAGAAATCAACCAATATCCAACCCTGGCAAGACTGTGGGGAGAAAGAAACCCCTTTTGATGGTTGTTGGGTCTGTAAATTGACACTACCACTATGGAAATCAGTGGTAAGATTCTTCAAGCAATTAAAAATAGAAATTCCATTCTAGCCAGCTATTCCCCACTAGGTAACTTCCTCAAAGTATTAAAGACATCACACCAGAGTACATGCCCATATACGCTCATGTTTATACACACAATTTATAATACTGAATCTTGGAAACAGCATATATGTCCATCTACAGATGAATGGATAAGAATATCTGTTATTTGTGCACAATGGGGTATCATTCTATCCTAAAGCAGGATGAACTTGAGTCATTTATGAAAAAATAAATACAATTTGATACCATAATGTTAAGTGAAGTAAACCAGACAAATAAGCTTAAATATTTCATCATTTCTCTTTCATGAAAAACTCAGTATAAATAAAAATTAAAGACAGACAATAGGAAGAAGGAATGAAAAAAAAAAAAGTATTGCACACCAGTTCAGCAGTGTAACTAAAATTGTTCTTTGACATAGTACAATTATGTTACATGCCTTATATGTTATTTGGCCAATTTGTCTGGTTTTAAATTTGTACATTTGGTAAATATATACTCATATGTGATTATTAAATAAGTCTAAACTGGAGATTTAGCTCAGTGGCTCAAGCACTTGCCTGGTGAGTATGAAGTCATGAGTTTGATTCCCAGTACAAAAAAAAAAAAAAAAAAAAAAAAAAAAAAAAAAAAAAAAAAATCTGATGCCAGAGAAAAGAGGGGATAATGAGAGAATGGAAATGTGTTAGGTCTGTGAACCAGTGCCCTAAAGTGAATGTAATCATTATATACTACTAAAGACAGAATGAAAGATTAAAAGAAGACAGGATAGAATTCAGGCATCTCTCCAGTACCACACATAGTGCTGTGTTTGGATTCTGTCAGAGAGAGCAAATGTAGAAAACGTAGGGGTTTAAATTATGAAACTGAGAAAAACATCAGACAACTTTATGGCAATTTCCCAAAGAACATTCATGGAT